AAAAAAAACGGTTAACGAGTTTCAAGGTCGAAATGGATATTAGCGTAAAATATATTAAATAAAGATAAATTATTCCTACAATATCATTTTTTTTATTTATCACAAGTGGCTTCAATTTCAAGTAAAAAATTTGGCCTGTGTTGATACACCACGTTTTTCTTCCTTTCTCTAAAAATTTTTTTTTTTTAAATAAATTTATCTTATTACCTCAACCAACTGGGCTAATAATGTTTGAAATTAAAAATTGCGAAACGAAAAATTGCGATTCTCAACGAAGAGGAAGTAAATTTAACTTTAAAATATATATCAAAAACACATAATAGTACAAATTGCATGCCTACAGCCGAAAGTTGTTTATATTTATAAAACACTATATATAATTTATAAATATAAATAGTCCAGTATAACCAATTTCACCGTCTTGAACTCTGCAAAATGTTCTTGACTGAACGTAATGAACGCCGAATAGCTGAAACCTGCTTGGTTTACCGTATCGTTTTAGTTGTTACAATAAAAAACTCACACCAAAAAAACTAACACCAAAAAAACTTAGACCAAAAACACTTTATTAAGGTGATGTTTTGGGCATTCTCCAGTATGCAGGCTTCTGTAAAGAGTATGCTGTATTTCCAAAACGGGTGAATAACTGTACTAAGCGAAATGGTGTAGGGTATCTAACTATCGGCCTTGTTCGACTACAATGTTCTTACTTGTTTTTGATTAATTAATATTCAGTATTAACAAGTAAGAAAATTGTATTCTGCTCCGACCCCATCTTCATCGTTATTCTAAAAAAGGCCAAATGGGGAAAAACTGTTTTTTTCTATTTTTATAGAGCAAAGGAGGAAATATACACCCTGTATTGAGTGTACCCTGTTTATGAGTGACGAGCAAAAAACCCGGAAAGTAAGAATATCCTGAGTTTTGATTGCATTGTGGACGTCTTCTTTGCCCGATCTGGACCATCTTCAAATTCTTTAAAATTTTTGTTCGTGTTATCTTGGTTTTCGTGAAAAAGAGAATCTTTATCACAGGTACGACGAAGTTAAACAGACGAATAGACGGATGGACGGACATACTTAGGTACATTCCGAAGTTGACATTGGTAAAGAATGTATATACTCCATGGTGTTTTTGAAACTTGCTTCTGGGCATCATAAAGGGTTTGGTAGAAAACAGAAATTTTGGTACACTGTGACAACGGGTAGGCATGGCCGATTTTTCCGATTTTTTTGCATACAAAAACATCACTCATAAAATATAGGTTTACGTTTTTATAGGTTTACCCGCTGCAGTTTGTGTGTAATGCGCAAAAAACAATTGGTCCCCTTTGGAAAATCGTTTACTTGGGATTGTGGGCTTGTTCCACGACCGATTTGGCCCATTTTTAATGCCGATCCGCATACAAGAATTTCCAATGTTTCTGCAAGGTTTGAACTCGACTGCTGCATTTAATTAATTTTGAGTACTACGGTCTCATGAGCAACTAATAACGAATCATGTAACCATTAATTGCTGCAATTGAACCGGGAAGTGCTGGTAACTTGTTTATAATATTGAAAATTCTTCGCGGTTTTTTCCGCCGGATGCTCTTCATATCTGTATATCGGGAAACACTCACCTGATTTTCACATGCGCTTAAAGACAAGCCGATAAAATTTTGCAACTGGTGGAGGAAGACCGATACGCAAGCTTTCAGGAAATAGCGGAGGCACTAAACATCAGTCACATGACAGTTTGGAATCATTTGAATACAGTAGGCTACAAGAAGAAATTCGAAAGAAGACCAAAAAATCGAGGAAAGACTTGTTATATCACCCATTATTTTGTCGGTGATTGCCAATGCATTTATGGATCGCAGTACAGTGGGTGCGTTGTTGGTGTCAATTTAGGTAGTTACGAGTCTATTGGACGGAAATTTTATGCGCAAACAAGAGGGTGGAAAGAAAATACCGGAATCATTTGCAAAGCTACGTCAGGTATAAAGATGCGGATTGCTCGTAGTAGTTTTACTGATGCACATCTTTTTAGGGTTTCAATTCAAAATTAGGTCTGATGCGCATAGATTTTAATGAACTCCATTCCATTAAAGAATTAGTACAATCTTACAATGAATTTGCTGAAGAGGGTGGTTCTGTGAAGATTTACAAACCGTCGGCAAGAACATTGCAAGACAATCTGTGAAGAACTTCGTAGCCTCATTGAAAGTATATCACACTAGGTAGTTTACGATTGCGCCGCTGCCGTTTAGATAATGTTGTCAAAGGCGTTTAGACGAATTAGACGAATGCTTACATTTGCACAAGGCACATCCCGAGGAATTAGCTAATACCGAGAAAATGAGCAAATATTTTATGAAAAAGCATTTGCGAATATACAAGTAGTCGCTTGTGATAATTAATATTCGTTATTATTGCTTTATATTTAAGTTAATAATTTAAAAAAAGCGTGTTTACTTATTTATTTGCATTTCCCCGGGTCTCGTGTTCAATCACACAAAAACTGTTAGTTTCTGTCATATTGCATTTTGCCTTTTCTCCCTTTCTATGCATATGCATCGTAATGGGTCGATTAGTCCTGTTTTATCTTAGCACCCACTCCTGCTAAAGTCGTTTGAAAATGGACACGATCCGCATTTAAATCTGCCTAAAATTGTTGACTTACATTTTAGAGGAAACATATAAAAGATCACTGTGAACACAATCCATATTCGTAATGATGGATGTTAAAAATTTGAGTTGTAGGTTCTTATTATTCTTATTATACTTCTTATTATTTACTTTTAGTAAGTAGTAGCGAAGTAACGCGTCATTAAAAACTGTTTACGCGGTTAATCGTTCAACAAACGCAGAATTTCGACGCGCGTCCAAGATTTAGCAAAAAAGCAAAACGAAATCAAAATTTTTTCTAAAACTACGTAAATATTTAATGCATAATATAAAAATAAATTTTTGTTATTTTTTCCTAGAAATTACAATACATGGAAAAGGACATTGCACAAAAGGAAATTAAAGGAGCTGATGGAATTTGAACATCTTGGGGAAATCAAGTATATACATACATATATCGAGCGAAAGATCGCGATATCCTAAAATGAAACAACGCTAAGGTTCAGATTGTATTTCCTGAAAAAAGCAAAAACCTAAGACAAACCGTCAGTTTGTCGCCCTTTATATGTTGAACTTTTCTTTGAGACAAATGAAACGTTGCGCGTCGATCAAGTTTAAGCTCTCCTACAACATTGGTAGTAGAAATATATATATATCAATACGTTTCTGGATGACTGCAGATGTAAAAATTCCATGAATTTTTTTTAGACTCAAATGAGTGGCAGTTGCACTGCGTGTCGCAAAAGTCCTTCAGACGAAGATTTTTCGCTCTAGCATTGCCTTTTTAATATCTTACTAATATTAGTTCATTTTTAATAGTTAAATGTAACCTGATTAACTTCATTGGAACTATTATTCTACAACTTATCCTTTCATCCCAAAAAAATTACCAAAAATATGCTTTTTTTCTATGTTTTCACGTGCAATTGATTATTACTTGTTTTTTACAGGAAAATTTGAACGCTTGAAGTGTCGAATATCACTGGCTATTAGTTAAAGAACAAGAAGACAAGTTAGAAGAAATCCATAAAAAACTGGACAAATATGAAGGAAAAGGGAGCAAGCCTAATAAATTGATACACAATAAAGATGAAGTTAATAGCATCTTGACGCAGAAAATTGCGTACGTATATTATAAAAAACTTCTGTAGGAAGAAGAAATTTAAGTATCTTATTAAAAATTATGACTTTTTATTTTTACAAAGCCATATACTTCAATACTTTGAAACGTTTAAAATAAAAACAAAGATTACTCTGATGTCAATCAATCGTTACGAAAAATACAATGTCAAATCTACGAAATTATTAGAAAGCGTTCAGAAATTGATATGAAAATGGAATCATTGCTTTAATAGCATTTTCATATCTAGTAGAAGTCATAATGAAATTGTTTTTCAGTTTCATTTCAGTTTGACGCAACTTACTAGGATTATTTTTCGGTTCGGTACAACTTCATGGAATTATTTTTCAGTTTCATTTCAGTTTGACGCAATTTCCTGGGATTATTTTTGGTTTGGTACAACTTCATGGAATTATTTTTCAGTTTCATTTCAGTTTGACACAACTTCCTGAGTTTTTCGATGCATTGAGAAAAACACTGGTGAAGTATGATGATCTAAGCATTTTATTTCTATTCGGTGCTGTTATTATTACATATTCGCGTCTATTTCTCTTGTTTTGATTTTCGTTTTCAGGAAACGTGACGAAGAACTGAGTATATGTCAGCAAGAACTACAATTATTATTATTTATTATTATTATTTTAATTTTAGACTAATGAAATAAATTCTTAGACTAAAAAAATACATTGAGCACTAGCAAAACAGGCGATCGGCTCTAATTTAAATAAATGTACATTAGATAATGAGCTTAGTAGTATTAATAAAGTAATATATTGAATTGATATTCTGTTCTGAAGCTGATTGTAGAATGTTCAAAGGGTTAATCATCTCAAATGCAATACTTCTAGCCAAGGAATAGTTGACACAGTCGCAGAGAATGTGCTTTATAGTAAGAGTTTGTCCACAACAGCACATTGGGAAAGAAGACTTCTTCAGGATCCATTGGTGAGTTACAATTGTATGACCAAGTCTAATTCTCGAAAATGTTTGGATCTTGGTTTTCTCAACGTTTGTTGGATGTAAAGGTAGAGGTAATTGAGGGTTAATGGAAGAGTAGTGTTGATGATGGTATTGTAAATTTCCTTCTGCAATTTTCTCTTTAATTTTTCTTCCAATGTATCTTTGAAGATCCAACTTTTCCATGACATCATCCATAATTAGAGGAGCAGAAGCAGCGTACTTTGCCGCTCGATCAGCCTGCTCATTTCCCAGTAAACCTATGTGACTTGTGTAACGTTTCGGGAATTCAACCTATGCACGGATGTTGTTGTTTAATTTTTACCATTTTTTCGCATGTTTTCCGGCCTGGGTCGTCGGTTGGGGGGTGCCCAAATATAAGGTATTCAGATACGTAATAGGTTCTTGCCTCGCTACAATATTCCATTATTTTAAATAAAACATGCTTACTATGAAATTTTGAAAACTTTTGACTAATTTAATCCATGCCCTGACCACATTGCTTCTACCTCGCCTCTCCGCCATCCACAGGAAGTCTTACCAGTGTTTTACCTTTTAATAAGAACACATTTCTTTTCTTTCCTTTTCAACGAATGTGTTGTAATGTTTTAATTCCATATTTCAAAACCAAAATTTTCCAAAAAAAAGAACAATGGTTAATCATCAATCTTATCAAAAACTTATAACGATTTAGTTCAATTTCGAAACCAAAATGTTCAAAAGGAACAATGGTTATTAATCAATTTTATCAAAATCTTGCAATGATTTAATTCAATATTGCAAACCCAAAATGTTCAAAATGAACAATGGTTATTAACCAATCTTATCAAGACTTATAACGATTTAGTTCAATATTTCCAATACAAAATTTTCGCTTTGGACAAGGGTTAATAATCAATTTTATAAGATAACTTACCAAAAATACCAACCACGTCGATGCGCATCGCCATAGCTGCAAGGTATATTAACAACTTATAAGTTCTAAAATTATCGCAAAAAAAAGAATGATTAATATTATGGAAATGATACTCAAACGAAATGTCAATGATTGCTTCCCTCATAGAGATGCCACGCACCAACCGGTGCGAGGAAGAGTGCTCCTTTGACGTTATATTGGTTCTCTCGCGTTCTTCACTCCTTCTGGTACATTAGCTGGTCGATTTATCTTCCTTTCTTCCTATTTTTACTTCTTATTTTTCCTTTTTGCTTCAGGCTCTTCTTTTTTTCTTGTTATAAAAAAATTTAGAGAACTCTTTTATCGTTTCCTTGTTCTTCAAAAAAAATAGCTATCTTTTCGTTAATAGTCGCGATGGCACAGCAAAACAAGGATTTTTAATTTCTCCCAAAAAAAATTTACACGTCAAAAAATCTGCGGTACGCCATCTTTTTTTTCTTTCTTCTTCTCAAACCGAATCATGTAGAGCCAAACGATAATATAGAAACCAAAATGATTTGTAGTTTTTGTTGTTGTTTTACACCAAAGTCACAAGTTTTTCTGCACATGTCATTTTAGGCCAGAATTCATGAAATTAATTGAAATATTTCCATCGATATATGGTTACATGGAAGTGAAATTTTTCCCTTTAAATATTATTATAATTTCTTAATAACACTGTTAAAGTTTCTTTTTAAAATTTTTCTAAAAACCACAGAAAGTAAAAAAGCAACCGACTCGCCGCCATTATCCAGAACTTTATTTTCTTTCCGAGTTGCCAAAGTTTTTTCTTTTTCTTCCCCCGCTTGTCGCTTTTCCTAAGTTTCCAAATTTGCCTTTTCCTTTTTTTTCCCCCACTACAGTGTCTGTTACACTTGGTACCCATAACATATTAATTTTTCCGTCGGGTGTAGTAATTATATACCTTAATTTGTTGATGGTGTTCCATCTCGAAGTCGAAGGGTTCCGAATAGCTTGTAATACAGACAAACTGTCGGTAACAATGACGGTTTTGAGTTTGTTTTTATGGGCAAAGTTCGCAGCGTGAAGGATAGCTCTGGCTTCGGTTGTGAAAGTTGAAGTACTTTCGTGAAATATTTGACCAGAAGATTTTGAGCCGTCTGTGTAGTGTAAAAAAGATTCCAACCAGTACTTTCCAATACTTGGGTTTTTTCAGCTATTAGATTCCTGAAGACGTATTTTGGAGTATCTTCTTTCTTGTGTATAGACAGTGAGATGTCAAAAGAGCAGTCTTTCAAAATCCAGGGAGATTTAACACCAAAACAGCGGGAAATTTTTAAGGGAATGCTCAATTCCTTTGCGACGCACAAACAATGGTCAATTGCAGAAGATGACTTTGGAATTTTCTGCGCAATAATAATCTTTCTTACGTCATCACCGAGAATGGATTTCTTTGAATTAAAAAGCTTGGGGACTATTTTAGCTTTTAACTCATACAGTCTATTTTCTAAAGTTGGGAGACCAGTTTCAATTGTAATATTATTTATGGGCGTCGTCCGAAAAGCATAACAACTTGCTCTGACGGCTTGGTGATAGACCGGTTTAAGGATGTTGATATTAGATTTGCAGCTATTGCCATAAGTTATCAAAACATAGTCAATCTTGCTTAACACAAGCATTTTGGTAAGATAAGCAATAGTGTTAATATGCGCATGGCTTCTCCAAGCAACGTACTGTATGAAATTCACCCTTGTTAAAATAAAAGTTTTTAACCGAAGACAGTGTGCTTTCCAACGATATTTGTTGTAAAACGTGAGCCCGAGAATATGTAGCGTCTGCACATTTAGTACTGGTAAGTCATTAATATGCATCAGTAGGTTTTCTGCATCGCACATTTGTTTTCGTGCAAATGTGCATTATTTTTGATTTTTGTATAGAAATTTTAGCACCTGACGAGTTTGCCCATGTGGAGATCTCTCGTCCAATAGATTCGAGGATGTTGATTGCTTTCGTGTTGTCTTTTTCTTTTGTAAAAATGTATACATCGTCCGCGTAGAGACAATGTTCCACTCTTGGTACACGGCAAAGAATTTGCTCTATCCCGCTTGAAACCAACTTGTTGCTTTGTAATTAGGTACTTGGACTCAAGAAACCAAGATAATCTAGATGCCATAATCTTCTCTAATACCTTTGAGAGGTAAGATAAAAGAGAGATTGGGCGATAGTCCGATGCGATGGAAGCATTTTTTGACTTTGGAATTGGAACAACTGTAGCCAGTTTCCGCATGTAGGGTATATGGCCAGTCATAAATACCGTATTATATAGGTCCAGTAATTTCTTTTTACTAGACTTAGACATAGCACTGATCATTTGGTATGAGATGCGGTCTAGACCAGGTGTCTTCCCCTTCAAATTGGAGAGACAACTTCCAAGTTCTGAGGTAGATACGCAATTTTCCAGGAACATGGCACATCTATCGATATTATTTGGAGGAGATATTGGAGTCCTTTTATTTTCAATGAAAGCACTGGAGAAGTTGCTGTCAGAGGAGTATTCGCACCACACTTTTCCAAAGTAATTAGAAATCTCATCTGCGTCAGTTAAAGTTCCATTGGGAGTGCAAATGGGAGAAATTTCGTTCAGGTTTGAAGTCCCATTAAGTCTGTTGATTTTGTTCCAGACAACTTTCATTGATGTATTTTTGTGAATTCGTCTCGAGAAAAGTTCGAAACTAAGTGCCTTTGATTTCCGTAATTCCTTCCTGAATAGAGCATTGGCCTTTTTGTATAATAACAAGTGATTCTGATCAGGACATCTCTTAAAGCGGTGCCATAGATCCATTTTATTTTTCCTCAAAAACGAAAGCGTGTTGTTCCACCAAGGAACCCTAGCTCGTTTAAAAGAGGTGTTGGATTGAGGAATAGAAAGATGAGCAGCCGTGCGAATCGCTTTAGACATAATAGCAGCATCATGGTTGCAGTTCCCGTTAAATGGCTTTGAATTCAAAAATGGCTCCACCTGCTTGGAGTAGTTGATCCAATCCGCTTTATCTAGGAGGAATTTGGCCTGTTTTGCTGGAGCAACAGAGGACGATGAAAGTTTAAGAACGATTATGATTGGAAACTGATCGCTATTATGCAGATCATCAGAAATAGACCAGGAAACCAAAGGAAGTAGTGAGGGAGAGCAACAAGTTAAATCAATATGTGAATATGTATGATGAGTTGAAAAGTGCGTTGGTTTTCCATCATTTAAAATGCAGACATTGTTTTGAGTGAAGGCCTTTTCTAAAACAGTACCGCGAGTATTTTTCACTGTTGAGCCCCAGATGATATTCCAACTATTAAAGTCGCCGCATATTATTAATGGGGGGGAGAATACGGAGAATAAATTGTAGAGTTCTTGCTGAGAAAACGATTGCGAAGAGCGAAAGCACTGTAAATTTTATGTTTAAAATTATTTGTATCGCTACGGCTTGTATATTTGAGCTTAAATTTATGCGTTTGTGAGGTATACTTGATTTTATAAAAACACCTACTCCTTGTTTGGAATATGAGTTTTGATCAGCATTCGTGAAATATCCAGTATATGATTTGGGTGGAATAGGATTAAAAAAGCTTCTACAATGAATCTCTTGAAGCGATATAAGGTTGCATTAATATCACTTATGAGTGTACGGACTTCATCAAAATTATTAAGAAGTCCCTTAATGTTGCATTGTAGAATTTTAAAAACTTTATTTAATTGTAGTGGCATGAAGTGGAAAGTAGGTTAACTTGACATGTCAGCGTCTCCGTCGAAAATGTCACTATAAGAATTTTGCGTGAATAATTTGTTCTTACCAGCAGAATAATCTGTACTTAGGTGCGTAAATTTGAATTGCAACGAGTGGGCACACGTGAATAATTTGAAATTGAAGGTTGATTGAGGGATGAAAGATTGGATTCATTACAGCTTGCAATTTGTTGAGTAGAATTGAGAACTGGAGATTCTGGAGAGTTTAGTATATTAGATTTTAGCATATATATTGTTGTTTCAATTTTTTCAATATTTGGTGTTGTTTTGGTTTTTTCAATATTATCTTTGGCGGGTGATGTAGCTGGTTTCGCAATATACTTTTTGGTTTAGGGGGGGAACAGGTTTTTCTTTGGAGGGAGTTGAAGTTAAAGGCTTCCTAGGCTTGTTTTGCGAGGCATCAGCAGCGTAGGTATTACTTTTGCCAATTCCTTGGGCTACAGATGGATTTCTTTCCCGGTATGTGCGTCGCGCTTCGCTCATGCTACAGTAATTTTCTGTTTTGATTTTTAGTATTTCACGCATCTGTACAAAACGTGGGCATTGTTTATCTAAAGCTGAGTGTTGATCATTGCAATTTATGCAGAAACTACGGGTACAGCTTTCAGCATGTGGAGGAAGACCACAGTTAGCACAAGATGCAGCACTAGTGAATCTTTTTGCCGTATGACCCAGGCGTTGGTAATTTTTACACCTCATAGGATTTGGAATGTATAGTTCTACTTTACATTTATACCACGCCACATCAACTGTTCGCGGTAATCTATAGCGATCAAAAGTTAAAATAATCCTTCCTGTAGGAGAGCGTGCTTTTCCGTCATCATTCAGTTTGGTTAATTTATATACTTTAGTCACTCCTTGATTGCCCATTTCGCGAACAATCTCTTCTTCCGGCACATGTTTTAAGCAATGGGCATAAATTACGCCTCTAACTGAGTTAAGTTTCTCATGCAGTTTAGCGGAAATAGCACATAGATTAGCTAAAGATCTGGACTTTACGAGCTTTTCGGTTGCGCGCGGGTTCCCAGCGAGGACCAGTAAATTCCCATCGCGTAGAATCGAGATGGAGTCGATGTATGTTGTAATGCTATCTAGAGTTTTTTTTATAGAACTACAATTAGAACATTAGCATGCGAAAGAATTGAATTTACGTTTATCGTACATTAGTAAGTGGTTTTAAGAATTTTAAAACAAATTTTATTTTAGGAAGCTAAGACCAATTATTTACAGAACTGGATAAAAGTTCAGCTGAAGTGGTGGCAGAAAGTGCTGTCCTTAATGAAATGTTAGAAATCGTAGAGTTCAAAATACTGGCGGCGCAATTGTTAACTACTATCTGTTCTTACTCCTTTCCCAGTTCAGGCAATTAAAACTTAAATAGAAATAATAAAATT